GAAAGAGCATGATGTGCTTCCACCTCCCTCTACAAAAATCCAGAGACTTGAAAAGCTGAGCCGGGTCATTTTGCTGTGTTTTCTGTTCCTGTCTTCTACCAAAGCCCTTTGCCATTTACTCAAGTTTCCTTATCCAACCCGCAGATAAAAGCTGGATACCAGACTGACACAGCATGCAAAGCCCTCTGAGCAGGGAGAGCAGGAACGTCACATCATCGTGTTAGCACTGATCTGGAAAGGACAAATGCCAGCAGTACTGGCTTCATGTGGAAACCGCAGCTCAAGCCATATGCTCAGCTGGGTTCCTATGGTGGAGATGGAATTCACCAGTTTTTCACTAAAATACATAATTTGTCCCTCTCTGCACACTTGTTTGTTGGGGTTTTTTTCTTTGGTAATTCAAAGACTGATCCTGAGTGAATAGGAGCCAATAAAATCAACTTCAAAACTAATTGAGGAATTGCATGACAAAAGCAGATGGCCCCGGTGCTACCCAAGCCACCGATATCCTTCCTTTTGAAAGTTTCCCACAAGCCATGTTGTGCTTTTGCTCTAATGCTGTGGCTTGGCCGTGCTCTCTGCCCATGACATGCGCTGCAAAACTCTCAGATGTTTCCAAATATATTGACCACAGGCTCCATCCTTGGGGAACCCATCAGCAGTTCATTGGGGTAATTACGCTCAGGCTGCTTGCTTCCACTACAAGGTTTGGTCTGTTACTTGGGCAATGAGAGATGGTGCACCCCATGAGCTGGGTAAGTCCAGTGTGAAAGGGTGTTTTAATCTATGGGGAAGTTATTGCCTCCTTGTAGCCTGTGCTGCTGAGAGTGGGTCCTGCCAGGCATCCACCCGTGAATGGAGCCAGAGGACGCACGAGATGGCACGTTACTGAAAAACCCACCTGCACGACTCACCTGACAAGATGGAGGCAACGGCGGCAATGATGAAGGAAACGATGACCCCGGGCCCCGCCATCTCCTTGGCCACCAGGCCAGACACCACGTACATGCCGGTGCCCACGCAGCTCCCGACGCCGAGGGAGATGAGGTCCAGGGTGGTGAGGACCTTGGCCAGCCTGGCGCCCTGGGCGGTGGCGGTCCCCGTGCCCTCCAGCATCGACTCCACGGGCTTGGTGCGCAGGACACGGGTACGCAAGGCATGGCCTGCCGCCCCCCACGGCACCCGCCGTGGGTCCCGGCGTGAGAAGAAGCCACTCATGGGTGGGGCCGGG